CTCGAGAAACATCACCAATGAAGACAACATCAGCGTCCTCGATCCCCGACGATTTACACCAACTCTGCACGCTAACCTGGTAGCCGAGATCCTCAACTTGCGACGCGACCAGGAAGAGAAGACGAAGCTTATTGAGAACCTAGAGGTGTCGTTGCATGCTTCTCGCGAGGAACAGGAATCACTTCAGGAATCGGTAGCCACCACCACCAAGGAAAGCAGGTCCTTGAAGCGCCAACTTGCTCTGCTCGAAGGTGGAACCTCGTCCGCATTGGGCGAACTTGCTCGTGAAAGGGATGAGGCCGTCGACTCCATCACAGAAACGAAGAAGAGGCTCGAGGCCGCTCAGAAGAAGATTCGAAGTCAGGAGGAAGCCGAGCAAAAGATTCACGACCTCTGGTCCCAAGACAAGGATTCTTGGGAAGAAGAGAAGCGCAAGTATGAGCGCAGGATCCATGTTGCGGAGAGCCGCTTGAAGGTGGTCCTCGATGAGGTCACCGCCTACCAAGCTGCCCAGGCCAATGGCCATGCTGCTGATAGCGACATGGAAGACAACAACAATGACGCCGCCAGTGTCCGCACCATGAGTATGACAAACAGCGTTCGATTTTCCATGCAACAAAGCCCTGGCAAGGTCAACAACGTCAACTCTCTCGCCGATGAGCTGAACCTCGATGGCGACGATGATTGGCAGACCGATGATGGTGGACGTGAGAGCGCCTTGTCTTTCCACCGCCACACGAGGAATATGAGTCGTGAAAGCGTACTCTCAAGGATCCACCGACGAAACCAAAGCCTCGAAAGCCCTCAGCGCCCTGGAAGCGTTACGCGAGGCAGACTCTGGATGAACCAACCTGTCTTGGAGGCCCTGGAAGACGGGATCCAAGAGGACGACGAGGACTTGATGCCGCCGCCTCCGCCGCCAGCCCCGAAGGCAACCTACACGGATACTGGAATTCAGTTCTCGCCCCCGCCGTCACCACAGCTGGAGCCGGTCAAGCCGTCTACCCCTGAACCTGCGGCGAAGATGGAAGAACTTACCAAGCTCGATGAGCCCGTCAAGCCTGAGAAGCCTGCTGAGGTCGAGTACGTCCACCGTGAGTCGGAAATTGAGGCGATCGAAGCAAACCAGCGACGCAAGCGTGTACAGATCAACCGTCCCTTGTCCATCGAGCCTCGTCCCTACAACCACATGGTCTCGGCCGGATCTCAGACTGTCGAAGAGCCCCTGAGCCCACCCAAGACGCCCAAGTCGCCTTACAGGTCTACGACACCCCCTCCTCCCCCTGAAATCCCCGCCCCAGTTATGGCATCATCTTCCACCCAGACCGACTTCCCCGAGCCCGAGCCTGAAGAGAAGCCGCAGCCCCTGCCGGAGCTCAAGCCTGTCCAGGAGCTGCTCATCCCCAGCATCAGCATCATCCCGCCCACGAGCCGTCCTACTACGCCTAGGGAGCCTCGATTGCCGCAGTACACCAAGGATTTTGGCTGCCAGGTGTCTATCATTGCGTCAGCACCTGTGAAGTCAACTGCTGTGCAGACCGAAGAGATCCTCGTCGATAAGCGTTTGGCCAACCTCCCCGCGCACCTGCGACCCTCCGCAATCTCCTCCAGGCCATCATCTCCCAACATTGCTACTGCCATCACTACGGATGATCCTCGCCACTTTACCCCTGTACCAAACCACCTTCCCCCGAGGAACCCCAGAAGACTGGCGACCAAGCGCAGTCTGACGGATATGCCCTCCTCTCCGCCAACTTCCCCCATGTCGCCCATGTATGGCATGGACACCAAGGATGCCTACCCCGGCAACAACGATGATGGGCCTCTGTCTGGACACAAGGCACCCATGCGACGCCCGCACCGTATCAGCAGCCTTTTCGCCGGTTTTGATGAGCACAGCTCTGACGAGCAGGATGAGTTTGCCGACGCGGATGTCAGCGATTCTGAGTACCGCACCGTCCTGACTGCCCCTGGCATGAGGATGACGGATTCCAGAGCTTCCAACCGCACGTCAGTGAGCACATTTGCTGCCTCACCGGCGTCGCCAGAGCAAGCTCTGAAGAAGTCTGCGATTGCCAGAGGCGCGGTGCGCTCTATGGGCCCTGAGAGCTATGGATTCGGCCAGGAGAACAAGGAGATGGGCTCAAAGAAGGCGCCCATGAAGTCTTCAGCACGGGGCGGATACGACAGATCTAACGGTGGTCCTTCAAGCCGACCCAACGGTATGCGCAAGGCCGCTTTGATCCAGAGCGGCATCTCGAGTCATCAAGGCCGTCCTAGAAGCCCTAGTATTCCTGAGGCGCAGCCTCCTTTCCCTATTCCCACACGAGCCAGCTCCAGGAGGCCACCTTTCAGTGCCAGCGCGCCGAGTGATGGTCAGCGAAGCCCGACGAAGATGGACGCTCCCTGGCACCGCCGGGGCGTTGGCCGCAGCCACTACCGTGCCAACAGCATTCGCAAGACTCGCTCCGCCGCCGCTCTGCCTAGGACGCAGAGAAACAGAAGGCACGGCAGTCGATCGCCGCCGCCGATCCCCCAGCACGCGGAGACCCCGGAAAGCCCAGGCCTCCCTCCTCTTCCGTACAACGACCTCACTAGCCCCAGATACGACACGAGCTCCAACTACAGGTCGCACAGGTCTCGCCTGTCTACGAACACAGCCCAGACTGCTACCACCGACCTCGCTTCCGTCGGTGGTGTCTCGCAAAGCGCGGTGTCCAACGGCGCCACTTCCAACGCCGCATCCAGCGGTGCTGCCTCTAACGGCACCAATGGCACGGCCCAGGCTACCGGCGTTGTCGATGCCATCGCGCAGACGATGGTCGGCGAGTGGATGTTCAAGTACGTCAGGAGACGCAAGTCTTTCGGTGTCTCTGATGGCGGCAAGGACGATTCCAGCAACGACCGCCACAAGAGATGGGTCTGGTTGGCCCCCTATGAGAGGGCCATCCTCTGGAGCAGCAAGCAGCCCAGTTCTGGCAACGCTCTCCTGGGCAAGCCAGGACGCAAACGTAAGTACTTCTACTCTTGATGCTCTATACATGCTAATTTGAACCCAGTCACAATCCAATCTGTGTTAGATGTCAAGGACGACAACCCCCCGCCCCGCGGCCAGGGCAATGTTTTCAACCGATCCATCCTGATTTTGACGCCGCAGAGAGCATTGAAGTTTACGGCCACGAGCTCGGAGCGACACTACGTTTGGTTGACTGCGCTGTCCTTCCTCGCCCACTCGACTCAGGCCCTTCCCGAAATCACACCTTCCCCTCAACCCGTGAAGGAGACTACGGTACCGGACTTTGAAATGCCTCAACCCAACAGGCGAACTGGCATCCGTGATTCGATCCGACTGACAAAGAGCAAGGCCCCGGTAATCAGAGACGCAGCACCGAGCGTACCAAGTGTCCCCAGTATCCCCAGCGTGCCTAGCGTTCCCAGTATTCCCTCATCTCGTGTTGGCGACAGCGGCAACTACAGGCAGCAAGAGCAATACGCCCCTATGCCGAACATCAACAATAACAACACCAATACCAATACCCATCAGCGCGAGCGATCAGAGCGGTCAATTGATGCGGCAGAACCGCCCTTCATCCCTCGCTTCACTGAGCGTGGAGAGCGTGGAAACCCAGCAGGTGTTCACGGGCGCAAGCGCAGCAACACTGGCGGCCACGTCCCGCCACCGCTGTCTTTCCGCGGCTTCTCCGGACCTGGCAGCATCGGACAGCACAGCTACACCAACAGCAACGCCGGCAACAGCGTGGGCACGGCCGGCTCATCAGATATCTACCAGTCTCACCAGTCCCAACCCTCCACCAGCGGGGCACAGAGCTGGCCCATGAGCACCGCCGGCTCCCAGCGCACGTCAGAGGCCTCGTCCCGCCCGGGTGCCAACTTCTTCGATGCCATCGGCACGGTTCGCATGGAGGCCTTCATCAGCCCGCTAGCCTACTCCCGCTTCGACGGCGATCCCGACGAGCACGAGGAGTACAGGTACCGAGCGCGCAGGCGAAGCAAGGAGCTCCGCCGCCGCCAGAGCCGCAGCCGTCACCGCGACAGCTACAGCTCGCGCGGCACCCGCACCACCGACGGCTACTACAGCCGCATGGGCACAGAAGATGACTTCTTCCGAGACGACCCGTTCAAGGGGTTCTAAAGCTCTCGAAGGATTCTTTTCTAGCCATTTTCTTTTACACTCGTCTCGTAGCGAAAGGTTTTCAGCTGGAGCGCTCGGGGTTGCCATTCATTTCGATTACCGATACCCATTATGTACTATTTCTTCGTGTATAACGTAGGGCGGGCGAAAGGAGGGGGAATACACAAAAAAAAAAAGAAGGGAGACGTGAGGGTCGCCTTCTGTGTTTGGAGTTGGGGAAAGGGGCAACGGCAGGATGGCCGCTGCTGCCTGGTATATCCTATGTCAGGGAAGACATTTGCCATGTTTCTGGTCCAAAACATGGATGGATGGGCATCGTGATGGAGGATGCCTGGCGGGAGGAGGAGAGAAGGTGTAAGATGTAGCCGATCCCGTCCCAAGGAGGGATTCGACGCTGGAACTTTGCTAGTGTATATAGGTCCCTTGTGGACGATTCTTGCTAAACAATTGAATACCGTGAAATAATCTAGTATTGTTAGGCTCCGTGTGACATTGACCTTGGAGAGATATTGGCACTACTGTACCTCAGGAGTTGGTGTCTTGCACAGGGACCTCCGACGGTGATGGTGTGGGACCCCGCACCGACCCCACCAAGAAATTTCACCCCTCGCAGCGGTGGCCCAGCCCAAGCTCCGACCGCCCACTCGCCGGCTTCGTCACAACCAGCCTCTCCATCGGTCATTCATGGTCGTTCACATCTTCTCAAGCCGCCAGAAGCTCCCCACGACCAATCCTCGACTCCCCTTCGTTGATATCTGTAGAGGCTGCTACCTACGAACGCACGGCCGTCTGCGCAATCTGTCTTGCGAGCGTGCCCCGCCATTCGACGGCACATCCCACCGCCAACATGGAGCCCGCCGAGACCCTCGAGCAGATGCAAACACGCCACCGCAAGGAGCAGCGCGACCTCGTCGGGCGCATCACCTCCAAGAAGAAGAACGCGACCAAGAAGACGCGCAAGGGCGTCAACGACGAGTGCGCCGACATGGAGCGCCGGCTGAAGGAGAAGCAGGCCGAGGAGCTCGCCGCGCTGTCCGGCGACGGCGGAGCCCCCGAGGAGCCCGAAGGTTCGGAAGACGAGAAGGATGCCGCCGGTGACGAGGAGATTGCGGAGAAGCTTGCGCAGACGACGATTTCCAAACCCGAGACGACGACAGCGACGACAGAAGAGACACAAGGAACAGGAGGAGGCGGTGGTGGGGGGAAGAAGCGCAACCGCCAAAAGGAGCGGTTGGCGCGCCGCGCGGCGGAAGTCGAGGCCGCGGCCGTCAAGGCGGAGGAGGAAGCGGCGAACATGACGGACCACCGCGGCATCGAGAAGACGTACATGCTCAACGAGTTCAAGGCGCACTCGCTCTCCGAGAAGGAGATCGCGCCGGACGGGCACTGTCTCTTCTCCGCGGTGGCGGACCAGCTGCAGCAGAAGGGCATCCCGCTAGCTGGTGAAGCGGAAAGCAAGCCGGCGCTTCCGTACAAGATTGTCAGGCGGCGCGCGGCGGAGTGGATGGAGGCGCACCCGGACGACTTTGCGCCGTTCCTGGAGGAGGGGCTGGAGGGATACGTGAGGAAGATCCGGGACACGGCGGAGTGGGGCGGGCAGCTGGAGCTGGTGGCGCTGGCGGGGGTGTACGGGGTCGAGATTCGGGTTGTGCAGGACGGGCGAACGGAGAGGATCGGGGAGGGCGGCGCGGCGGGGGAGGAGATTTGGTTGGCGTACTACCGGCATGGGTACGGGCTGGGCGAGCATTACAATTCTTTGAGGAAAGCTACAGCTACGGCGACGACGACAGCATAGGACGGAAAAATGTTCATGCATGTGGGATGGCTTTTTGATGTATAAGATGTGGCTGTGTCTACGGTCATCCTCCCCCTTTGCTCAGCGGCTCCAGACGTGGATCCAGTCGCGGACTGTGCCGTCCTCGTTCATGCCTGCCTGGTGCGTCCGGGGCGGTTTGATGAGCTCGAGGCGCCTGAGGCCGTTTGCCGCGTCGAATGGGGGCACGATCACGGTGTCTGTCGGGTCGCCTTTCTCCGTGGAGGAGGAGAACTCCAGAGCATCGCCTGGGCGGGCGAGGAGGGCGAGGTAGATTTCCGGGGTGAGGCCCCATGGCGGGCCTGGGGCGGAGAGGGGCTTGCCGGAGGGGAACTCAAGGCAGACCAGGCGGCCGTGGGGTGACAGGAGGGAGGTCATTCGGGTTGCCCAGAGGGGACGGGCCGAGGGGGGCAGGGCACAGAGGAACTTTTCATTCACATTAGATGGAGTGTTTTCATGGTGTTGGGGAGACAGAGTGTAGGCTGAGTGAGTCGGTGGGCGGACGGCGGAAGCTCACAGTGTAATCAAAGACCAGATCAAACGTCTTCTCGCGGCCCCATTCCTCCAGCCACGCATCCGAGAAGAAATCGCCCGACAGCCAGGTCACGGTGCCGGGGCCGACGCCGTTCGGTTGGCGGGCCGAGCTGGCATCGGAAACCCCGGCCTTCTCGTTCTCGACCGCCTGGGATATGGCGGTGGCGGAGAAGTCGAGGCCGAGGACGTCGTAGCCGAGGCTCGCGAGGAGCAGGGCGTCGTGGCCCTTGCCGCAGCCCGGGACCAAGGCGGTCGGCTTGCTTGGGGCGCCTGGCGGCGGGGGAGGGACGAGGTCTGGGCGGGTGGTGAGGACGTCCTGCAGGGCGAGGGAAGGGCCACCGCGGTCCCAGGGGGTGAACTTTTCTTCCCAGAAGGCGGACCACTTGGGCCCATGGGTTGAGAGGGGTGCGTTGGAGAAGGCGTCGGATAGTTTGGAGGACATGGTTTTGTGAAGGGTGGGATGAACGGGTGTGAAGTGAGTATCCGGGCGCGGGCGTGTGTAGATACCGCTGTTTGGCGGGGTTGATGATAAGACGCTGATGATGTTTTGAGCTAGATGCAGAAATCAAAATCAGAAGCTACACAATGAGAACAGAATGAAGAACGTGGACAGCCGGCTTGTTGCTGACACAAGTCGCCCGGAAGAGAAGCCGAATGAAGTCATGAAAACCCCAAGGAGGCCGGAGCCGAGACGTCCTTAGTCCCCGAAGAACCCCGCGATAGAAAACTGCCCCGCGTTTTTGGGAGGACGGAGATAGGGACCCCTGTCGCCGATTTTGCGTGGTAGGCTGTCTTCCTCTCCCACGCGGCACACACACGCGCCAGTACGCACAGTAACGGCCTTCCTCCTCCGGAATAGAGAAAAAAAAGGGACGCTTACCCCAGACTGCAAGGTACGCATTGCCGCTCCCCAAGCCATTCCGCCTTCCGAGGCTGTATGACGTCTGACGCAAGGTACCGGAAGGGGAGGTAGGTTGTGCGTTGTGAGTGCTACAGCACTTCTTCCCCACGGTGCTGTCACTCCCTTGTGTCACTCTGAAGGCGCGTGCTCCAGCTGAGGTGCTGCCCCTCAGGCCCCCCCTCCTCCTCATCTTCCCAAGGTTCCTGTGTCACTGGATGGGCTTTGGTGTGCTTATCGCTCTGGCCGTCCCGGTGGTGGGTCGGGTTCGCCGGGATAACCCTCGCTGGAGGCATGACGCTTTTGGTTGACCTGAATCGCTGCAGACTTGCAATGGACGGACAGCTGCTGACCGCTCCGAGTTGATGTTATTGTTGGGGGAGATTTGAATGGCGAGGTGGGAGAAGATTGCAATTGAAGGGACGGGATTGGTTGCTCTCATGCAAAGTGCAAACGCGGTAAGGCAAGCTCGATTGCAGTCACTCCATGTAATTAAGTAGTAGGTAAGTCGCCACCCCAAGTAACCAATACCCCGCAGTAACTAATAGCCCTAAAAAAGGATGATTTTCAGCTACTTTTATATAACTACAAATTAATTAATTTGCTATATATCTCTACGAAAGTTAAAACTAGATGTATATTAATACATATAATACTTTAGCTACTAGCTAAATACTCTAATACTTTTTTTTAAGAACTTTCTATACTTTTTAAGCCTCTATTAGTACTTTCTAAACTTTATCCTTTATATTTATAATATTATATATAATAATAAAACGTTAGTTTTTATTAACTTTTATTATAATATATTTAATAAGCTTAAATTACTTAATTAAAAACTTTGAAGTAATAATGTTTTTTATACTTTAGTTATATTAATAAGGTTAAGCTATTTTCTAATCATATTAAATACTGATTTATATATAATATTATTAAAACTAACTTTATTTATTTTTAAGTTTTAGAAGAACTTATATTTCTCTAAGTTTTTTAACTTTATAAAAGTAATAATAATAAAAATATAAAGTAGTAGAAATATATAAAGTTTAGTTTAATAAAACGTAAAAATTGATGAAATATCTATAGCTTTTAATTTATTAAAGAGGAAGCTATTAAAGTACTTCTATTAGTTAATAAGCTATATCTTTATTACTTTAAAGCTTATTTTAATAATTAATTACTAAAAAGCTATTTAATAAGTATAAAAATAGTAATAGAGAAAGTTCTGCTTTTTAATAAGTATAAAGTTAAATAATATATTAACCTCTTTAAACCTCTATTTATAAACTTTCTTAAGAAGTCAGAATATAATAATATTTAATAACTAAGTAATATAGCTAGAGTAAAATAATAAGTAAACTAAATAAGTACTTTTAATATAGTATTTATGTATAAATTTATCTATAATATACCTTTTATAGCTATCTATAATTAAAAGCTTTTTAAATTAAAACTTTTTAACTTTTATTATAATATTCAAAATATATATTTACTTTAGCTATATTATACTAATTAAATCAAATATAAAAAAAGTTAAAATTAATATAGAAAGCTATGTAATAAAATTATTAATATTCTTAGGAAATTATTATTATTATATAGTTTTATTTTTTATAATAATAAATAACTTAAAATATTTATTATTAGTTAAAATATATTTAACTATAGAGGCTTAAATATAAGATTTTAAGTTTTAAATAAAAATAAAAAGCTTATTAGAATACCTTAATATTAATCTATTATATTAAACTCCTTTTATAATATTAATTTTATCTACATTCTAATAGAAACTTATAAAAATAGCTTTAATAGCTAATAAGTTTATAATATTAAATAGATTAATAATAATATTAATAATAATACTCTTTACATATTAATAATTAATCTTTTATAACTTTAGAGTTTTTAAAGCTAAATTATAATATAAAAAGCTTTTTATTTATTTCTTCTCTAAAGGTTAAAAGTTATTAATAGTAATAAAGATCTTCTAAGTTATTTTCTTAAACTATATATAAATATAAATAAAACTTAACTAGTTTTATATAAAGATCTAGCCTACTAAATAGGCTTTTTAAATAGGAGAAAGCTTCTATTATTTAGTATAAACCTCTTATTAATTTATAATACTCTTAAAGTAGTTATATAAAGTTATATAAAGTATATTATACTATTTAGTAGTAGTATTCATAATTTAATTACTTAAAACTTTAGTAATAGCGTTTTAAAAGTCCTAAGGGGTATAAAAAGGTATTTTAAATTAATTAGTTATTTTTTTAGAATATTATTAAATTTTTTTAGTTATATTATTAATATAAGTATAAATTAAGTAGTAGTGTTAAGTGGGTGAAAAATAACTCGTTTGGGTATATTAGTAGATGTGGGGTATCAGTTACTTGGGGTGGCGACTTACGTACGTAGGGTTGAGGGTGCGTTTGCTGTGCGCTGCAGCAAAACTTACCCCTCCAACAGCCCACCTCACCTTAGGCCGGCGCCTTTTTTTTTTCTCGCCTTATCTTATCGCAATCCCCGATCCCGGCGCATTGGTGCTGTGACTCTACGGCACGCCCGCAGCAAGCTTGACCGAAATTTTGATCCCGTTTCTTTTCCCTTTCCCAAGGTTTTACCAAACCCACACACAAACATCTCCCTCTTCACTTCTCGTTCCGGTCGCCTCAATTGCAGTCGTCGTTGCTCCGCGTTATTCTCCAAGAACCCAATTCACCTTTCAACTCAAACATCTGTCAACATGGCTGGTTCTAAGGGCAAGGTCTGCCTCGCGTGCGTATAACCCCGCCCCCGCGCTCCGCGCGCAAAAAAAAGAGTCATTCGCAGGACTGACACCGTGAACCCACAGGTACTCTGGAGGTGTATGTTTCTTCACCAACTCCCGACCACGACGAGAACTCGGGAATCGACGTAACGGGAGTCAATGCTAACTGATTGCTCAAGCTCGACACCTCCACCATCCTGGCATGGCTCCTGGAGCAGGACTACTCCGTCGTGTGAGTCGTCCCGCCCCCGCCAACTATCTTGGGAGCTCGCGAAGCCCCGCGCCCCGCAGGAGCTGTTTAAGCTGACCTCGATCTCACAGCTGCTACCTCGCCAACGTCGGCCAGGAGGAGGACTGGGCTGCCGTCGAGAAGAAGGGTATGTACTCCGTCCCGTCGCTCTCTTGTTGGAAACGTCTGTGCTGACACCCCGCAGCTCTCCAGATCGGTGCCGAGAAGGTATGACGATGCGCAATGAGGCACCAGGCCGAATTGGCTTTTATAAAGGAGGGTGTACACTAACATGCGCCCAAAGATGATCATTGACGACCTCAAGCGCGAGTTCGTCGAGTGAGTGTGGCCCAAAAGCCTGTCTCTATGTGGCGAGGTCCGCTAACGCTGTCTAGGGAGCTCTGCTGGAAGGCTGTCCAGTGCAACGCCATCTACGAGGACCAGTACCTTCTGGGTATGACCGACGCGATGTTTTTCACGATAGACAAACGCTAAAGAGGTGTTCAGGAACCAGCTTGGCTCGTCCCATCATCGCTCGCGGCCAGATGAGG